AACATGTGGATATTAATTCGATATTCAAACATGCTAATTTTTCAGAAATTGCAACTTGGTCTATAAGGTGTCCGGCTGGTGTTCTCGAGTGTCAGACGACACAATACGCGTCCGTGATGCGGTTACAAATCTAACATATATGTTAGGAAGTTGAAGGTTGCATGCTACATAGATGGTAAATAATTATAAATAGAGTTGTAATACTTATTTTGCACGTCTAATTATTGATTTTTTTTCTTTTTTTTTTTTTTGTTTCTATATTTCTTACTTTTTGTGTATGTATTCATGAAATGTAGAAAGAAAGAATGAGAAGCAACTGCAAAAAAGATCCAAAAAATGTTTTAATCCATAGAAAAGGTGACAATTGCGTTTGCTTTTTTGAGTTCTTTCAATATATTGCTATATACTTTACGTTTGATGGTTATAACTTATATTGGTTCTTGTACTGTTGTACATGCTACAAAGGGTACGTGGCATATATATATATATATATATATATATATATATATATATATATATATATATATATATATATATATATATATGAATGTGTCAAAACAAATATATATTATAAATTAAAAGATTGAATAAGAGATGTATGAAGCATCATTTGTCTTATCGAAATAAGTGTAAATACATGGTAACAAAATTGAAAACAATATATCGAATAAAGAAGGATGGGGTTAAATTGACCGGCCAATTGCAATTTTATGTCACCAAAAAAGTTGTGGTCGCCACAATAATTTATTTTTTTCCCATTTATTATATGAATTTCATTCACATTAGTTTTCTTTTTATGGTAAATAGCTCTTTAATCCCGTGTTTTGAACTTTGTGCTGATCTCCTCGTATTTTCCACATAAGCATATGACCTCCTTGTAGTTTGAACTTTGTGTATATAACATCACCGTACTTTTAATATAAGCACATAAACAACCCCTGATAGTATTCATTCGGTTAATAATTATGCTCAATAAGAAGAGGAAAATTTTTGAAAGCCTAAGAGGATCATATACTAATATGAAAATACAAGGGGATCGTATGTTATATTAAAAATAAAAGAAGATCACGTGCACAAAGTTCAAACCACATAGACTAAGTGTTATTTACCCTTTTTTTTATATAAAAGAAAAGATAGTACAATTATTGGTCATAGTCAATATTTATTATTGGACTTGCACGCTAGTGCATGTCAATGTAAATTGGGCAATTAAATATTTAGTGTGTGTATATATATATATATATGTATGTTTGTGTGTAATGGGATAGGACCATAAGTGATTTGTACATAAAAGGCTAAAAGCATGACCCAATTTGATCCCATCATTTTAAATGTTTAATTGCCTTTTTGTTTTATAATTTTTTTTAAAGAAGCCTTAGTTAGGTTAAATATAATTCACATTCGAAAATCCGCTCTAAATGTGTTAAGTTGTTGTTAGAGTCGCAAGAGTTGGGAAATAAAGTATTCCGCTTACAGAATTAATCAGACGAAGTTTGAATATCTGAGTTATAAATGAACGAATATGCATGTTTGATTTTTACGAATGAAAGATTAAAATCGAATATGTGAAATATGACATTGAGATGAACCAAAAATTTCTTATCATTATTCAAAATGAAAAAAAAAATATTTAAAAAAAGAAGAAAAAATCAATAAAAAAATAAAATAAATCTATCTATCTAAAAAGGTATAATACTCAGTGGAGGAAATCATTTTGAAATGCTCAAAAGTGTCATTACATATAGTGGAAACTGATGACCTCCCATTTTATGGTATGTAACAATAATGTCACATTGTAGATTTATAATAATCCAATTTAATTGTTTTAAATGTAAGTTTAGAGAAGAATTCCATGTCAAATTCAGTAGAAAAAACTGAGAGTATATATAACATCATTTAAGCCCCTTCATCTTAAATAAGCTTATAGATCGAATAATTTAGCCGTGTGATAGGTCTGATTGTCGAAAAAACCCTCGTGTTGTAACAATTAGCATTTACACCCTATGAATCTTAGTCAAAGTCATGAAGCTTCTAGCCCATGAACGTGCACTATACTTGCCAATTATGCGACTAGGGGTGCATTTCGACTGGAAAAGATCTAATCTATATAATATATAAAAGTCGAATTCCACACCTAATTGATTGACATTTGATAATTTCAATTGGTGACATGTATTCAATTTCATCACATGTGGCAAATTAATTGGTGAAAATAAATCATCAAAAAACATGTCACCATTTTCCAAAATTAAAAAATATATTTAATTATTTCATTATATATTTATATCATACCATTTATAAAATCCTCTAAATATATCAACTTTCTTGGAAACTCTAAATAGTTTTATTTTTTTAATTTAATTTTAATAGTAATTATTTAATTTAAATTTATATAAATTCAATTTGAAATCTTCACTTATTAAAATTGTATGATTGATGGTGTTACGAAAATTTTGTATTTTAATTTCATAAACTTGGATTTAATTATATAAAAAAAATATTGCAGAATAAATCATTTGATATCATACATTTTACATGAACATGACCAGAGAATATGTTTATATTTTTTACTAATTTAATATCATATTCGTAATTACCAAAATTTCTCTGATGTTTGTTTTCGTCTTACATCAACCCGCTTACGGTATGATTTTTCATGGAATTTTTATTACGTGGAATATTCCCCGAAAATGCAGATTCTACCCTGCACACGACATTTGTTCATGGTACTTTTTAAAGACAAAAATTACCCTAAGGGGGACTTTACACGAAATATTTATTCTTTTTAAATAACATCTTCACAACTTTGTAGTATTATTATTACCTCCTCTAAGGGTAATTTTTGTATTTAAAAAGTAAGATAAAAGAAATGTCATGTCTGCAAGGGTAGAATCCACAATTTTTGGGATATTACATGGAATAAAAAATATTTCGTAAAAAATCACACCATAAGGGGATCGTGTAAGACAAAAACAAACATTTGGGGGATTTTGGTAATTACCGATAAGTGGGGGTGATTTCCGTAATTTAGCATAAGTTCATGAGGATTTTCGTAATTTATCCTATTAACAATGATTATCGTTATTTTCACGTCTTAATGCTTGCTTATACCCTTATATTATTTTAAATAATTTTAATGTCAGTTTGATAATATAATTAAATATTAATTTCTAATATATTTAATATTATGTGTTTCTTGAAGTTTCAGGTACCACACATAAGGAATTTGATATAAAAGTTGCGAGATTGAATAGAATTTTTTTGATACAAAATAATAGATAATTGCAAAAACATTGATCCAAAATCATAATTAGGATTGTGATTAGTATTATCATTAGAATTAGAATTATAATTATAATTATAATTAATACTCTTTGAATTAGTATTAGTATTAATACTAGGATTATGATTCGAATTAATATAGTATTATAATTTATATTAGGATTATGATTATGATTAATATTAGTATTAGAATTATAATTAAGATTATAATTATTGATTCGCAATACAATTAGTGATATGTATTAGTATTATGATTATGATTAGCATTAGGATTAAGATTATGGTTAGAATTATTATTATAATTAACATTAGCATAGCATTAGTATTATTAGTAGTAAAGTTATTAGGATTATAATTAATATTAGAAATAGGTCTACGATTAGAATTATGATTAAGATTAGAATCATGATTAGTGTTATGAATAGGATTAGGAATAGGATAAGGATTTGGATAATATTAGTATTACAATTATAATCAGCATAAACATATCCAGATTAACATTAATATTAAAATTAGTATTAACATTAGAATATGTACATTAGCATTAACATTAACAATATTAACATATTAGTATCAATATGAATATTAGTATTAGTATTAGTTTTATTATTAGTATTAGTATTAGTATTGGTACGAGTATGAATATTCGTATTAGTATTAGTATTAGTATTAGTATTAGTATTAGTATTAGTATTAGTATTAGTATTAGTATTAGTATTAGTATTAGTATACTATCAGTATTAGTATCAGCATTAGTATTAGTATTAGTATTAGACTATTAGTATGAGTATCAGTATTAGTATGAGTATCAGTATTAATCGAATTAGTATCACTATTGGTAACAATATTGGTATCGATATTGGTATCAACATTGGTATAAGTACTGGTAGAGGCGTTGTATACATCATATCTCTTTTGCAATATTTATATGTTTTATTGTTGTTTGAACAATGTGCATCACTAATTGAACGACATTGGTGATAAACTTGCAGGTTGAATATCTATTATGTTACTTCTTTGCTCCCCTGTTTGTTGTTACCTTAGTTATTTTGTAGAAGATTCACATAGTGTAGTAAATTGTGTGCAATATTTATAAGTTTTATTGTTGTTTGAGTAATGTGCATCACTAATTGAACGACATTAGTGATAAACTTGCATTTTATTTGAATATCTATTGTGTTACTTCTTTGCTACCCTATTTGTTGTTACCTTAGTTATTTTCTAGAAGATTTACATGGTGTAGTAAACTGCAATCCAAGAAATAGAATTATACCATATGTTTTAAATGATTTCACTTAATCTTTATATCATATTTTGCGCACTTCATGTTTTCTTATCTGTAATCTTAAACTTAATTTTATATGTTACAACTGATAAAGTTTATGTTTTTTTATTTCCTTTAATCCTTTCATTTTGTTTTACTTGAATAAGTATTGTTATAAAAAGGTAGTCATTTACATAAGTTTATTTTTCTGATTTTGAAACTTACCTCCGTGCAACGCACGGGTGAAATACTAGTACCCTTTAACTCTTAAATTCTGAATACTACAGATTAAAAATTTAAATTTATTCCCTAACATTTTCAAGAAATCCCTCTCATGAATTGAGACCAAAATAACATGCAGTAACACGCAAATACACACACTTCCACTTTGATGTTTTTGCGCATATATACACACAACAATTACTCAACCACCATCATAAAAATTTCAAATCAACTAGAGATTCAACCCATCACCTTCTTCAATTCGAAATCCACGAATTCCGAACCACTCTTCCCCTCCATCAAAAACCTTCGCTCCCGTCTCCACCACCGCATCCATATGTTGTTGGTGATGAAGGAGAGCTGTGTAAGAACAAGAAGAAGAAGAAGAAGCAACTTCAACTTCACCGGTGAGATAGTGGGTGGGCTCGAGGAAGAAGATGAGCTCGCAGCCTCGCTCTCTCTCCTTCTATTTATTGTTTTTTACCAAATCAATTGATAGTTTACCTATATTTTTTTTACTTACGCTAATTTAGCCATTTCACCTAAGTCAACAACCAAATATGATGTAAGTGGTGATAGGCAAAATAAAATCCTTCAAACATGAGTTAATAGTAATTTTGTTCTAACATATGTACTATTCCGGCAATTAGACATTTCACAGGGAGTTTATGCAGTGAACTTTCATTGTACACCACCAATAAATAAGCAAGAACAATAGGTCATAAGAAGTTCGACGATACAATTAGAAATCAAAGGGATTTAGCGCAAATTTCTTTGATTTTGGTTGCGTTAAAAAATCAAGTTCGAATTAAGCGCGAAATAAGAATATGAAATCAAAGATTAGTAAAATTAACGTTCTTCTCTCAATATTGGGCTAGACGAGAACGACAGTCTAAAACAACCTTCTAGTCTTAAAACCCAAAACTACATAAAAAGGTCTTTCAAGATTTTAAGACATACATACTATAAATAAGGACATTAGCAGAGCCAGACTTTTGAATCCACGGAGGCCGATTGCACTGAAAAGGGGGGTTGACAATGCTACCATGCACGAATTTATTTAAATATATAAAATAATAACGACACGAGAAATGTTGGGGGAGGGGGCTGTGGCCCCCTTGACTCTATACTGGCTCCGCCACTGTCAAAGGACAAGGAGAGACAAGGCTCCCGACAAAGATGTCTCCATCTAAAACATTGGCCGGAACTCCATCGACAACCATGTTATTCAAGCTCTTCTCTTTCACATTGTAAACCAAAGCTTCCGCCATTGTATTCACCAAAACAACTTCCTCATCCCCAATACAACACAAAGGCTTTGCCATTTCCCATTCGTGAACGCATTCAATATTGAATCTCGTCCACGATTTGGCCGATCGGTACTCTCTCATAATCCAAACATTCGCTTGGCCGATGACGCTCTGAACATCGTAAACACAAAGACAACCCCCAAGAACCACAAGTTCATACGGCACAAGGTTCACATCCGCACCAACTGGAGCAGGCATTTCATCAAACACCTCGCGAGCCAAATCGAAAGCCACGATTACGGTCCGTTCGTTTGCATTAGAAGCAAACCAATGGATAGCTCCATTCAAATAAGCCCCGGGCGTACGTAGCACGTAAACATGATCGTAAGCATCTTTTCCGAGAAAATAGAAAATATCGTACGGAGGGTTCCCCACCCTTTTCCAAACACCACTCCTCACGCAATACACGTCGACAAACGTATGGACAACGGCCGAGACATACTCGCGGGGATCCTGGTAAGAAACCGAGACGATCTTGTAATCATCGATCGAAGAATCGTACCCGAACCCATGCATGGCGATGCTTTCGTCCTTGTAGGAAGGTGCGGGCCAATCGGGTACTTTTACGAGCTGCATTGTCATCGGATTCAGCAGAAACTTATCCTCGTCGTCGTTTTGCAACAAAACGAGACCGTCGCAAGAGCCCAAAACATCGCTCCACCGTTTTTCTAGACCTAGCTCGAGTTCTCTTGAAACGGCGTCGTTTTGTACGGCGGAGATGGTGCGGATTGAGAAATCTCCGGCGATGAAGATGAGATTTTGTTGGTGGGTTCTTTTAAGATGGGTGAGGTGGGCTTTGATGAATTGAGTGCCGGACAGAATAGTTCGCCATGGTTTCGATACGCACCTGGATTTGCCGACGCATTTTGCCGGGAGGCGTGATAGTATATCGAACATGATTTCGTCGGGGAGTTCGGAGATCGCCATTTCTAGTTTGAATTCACGAGGGTTTCGGATTCGGTTCCTCCGCCGCCGTTGATCGGAAGTGGGGACTGACTGAATGGGAAATAAGTATGACGAGTTTCAATTCCTAATCCTTTTAAGGACGGAAGAAAATCGGACGAATCGGATTGGAATCAGCATTTTGGGGACAAAATCATTTTTTTTCGGAAATTTAGGAAAAAAATCGAAAATCATAATATCGGAAAATTGAATGAAAAATCTTGTTCGGAAACTGAAAATTTTCCAATATGAGTCAATCGAATTCACAAATAAAGTACATAATAATATTGATATTATAGGTGTAATTTTTGAAAATCGGAATCTAATACGTATTCCAATATTTTAAACACACTACATAGTATATTTAATTAAATACAAAAGAAAGTATACACACAAGCTACAATGACATATTAACTATTAACACACCCCAACATTTCTTACATACAATTTGATTAACTATTCACACAATTTTACTACCTATTCAACACTAATTCCTCTTATGGCAAGTGTATCCATCTGCTTGGGCCTCTTGTAATTCTTCAGCAAAAGAGAGCTGCAAACCACGCTAACCGAGGACGCCGCCATTGCCGCCCCGGCAATCCACGGCGGCAGCCGGAATCGGGTACCCGGAAAAAGTACCCCGGCGGCAATGGGGATGCCCATGATATTGTACCCCAACGCCCAAATATAGTTGAGTCGGATTCTGAAAAACGTTTTCCTCGATAGGTCTATGGCGGTTATTACATCCTCCAGATTGCTCTTCATCAGAACTATGTCTGCCGCCTCGACAGCTATGTCTGTGCCTGCGCCGATCGCCATTCCGACGTCGGCCGCCACCAGTGCCGGCGAGTCGTTGATGCCGTCTCCCACCATTGCCACAATGTTGCCTGCCGCCTGTTGATAAAATAATAAAAATAAATAAATAACCGACATTATAGTTAAACCTCTATAAATTAATACAGTCGGGACTGACAAAAAATTCTAATAATTTAGCGAAATATTAAATTATCGAAGCTAATAAGTTAGTACCTTTTTCCCGAGTCGGGACCGTAAGAAATTATTATTTAAGCAAGGTTATTAATTTATCGAGTATTAATATAAGTAATATAACATTGTACCTGTAGTTCTTTCACTTTCTCTGCTTTATGCTCGGGTTTGGCTTCCGCAATAACGGTATCGATCCCAACTTCCTTAGCAATCGAATTCGCAGTACCCCAATTATCACCCGTGACAACTATACTCCTTATTTTCATTGTCTTGAGAAACGAAATGACTTCTTTAGCCCCGGGTTTCAAAGGATCGGATATAGCAAGTATTCCGACCAGTTCCTTATCAATCGATACGAGAATCCCCGTCTGAGCCAAACCTTCGGTTTCCGCTAATATTTCTTCAGCATCGAGTGAAATATTAATATCTCGATCCACCATTAAACTCTTGTTCCCGACAAGAACCTCTCTGTTTCGGACAAGAGCTTTCACCCCATGTCCGGTTATTGATTCGAATTCTTTCGCTTCTGGCCAAACGGGATTCTCTTCGTCTTGTCTGAATTTTTTCGCATGCTCCACAACTGCTTTGGCTAATGGGTGCTCACTGTTTACCTTTATAAACGAAAAAAATAAAAATTAATGGGTGTTTTTTGGATTTATAGTAATGAAAAATTATTACAGCAATAAAAAGAGAGAATATACCTCAGCAGCAGCGACTAGTTCGAAGAAATCGGTAAGAACCATGTTTTTCAAGAGCCTAGTATTGACAACCACCGGCTTTCCGACCGTCAGCGTCCCTGTCTTGTCGAAAACTATACAGTTCACCTGTTATACGAAAACGAGGTTAAATAAAATATAAAATATTCCGCAACATGTAATAAGAAATAGAAACACGATCGATATCGTATCGTAATTACCTTATGAGCGCTTTCTAATGCATGGCCACCTTTAATAAGTACACCTTGAGAAGCACCGACACCCGTACCGACCATAACAGCTGTCGGAGTAGCTAAGCCAAGCGCGCATGGACATGCTATGACCATGACAGAAATGCCGAACTGAAGCGCCAGCTGGAAGCTATCCATCGAAGAAGGAATCCAAGAAGTCGGGTACCTGTTTAATTTTCCCGCCAAAAACCAGGCCAACCAAGTCGAAAACGAAAGAAATATAACCTGCAAAATAAATAACATTAGTCCAAGAAACAGTTTCTTGATTTCGAATCAATAAAAAAAAAGTTATACATACATACATACATACATACATACATACCAAAGGAACGAAGAATTTGGAAATCCGGTCAGCAAGTTTCTGGACCGGAGCTTTCGCCATTTGTGCCGATTCCACAAGTCGAACGATTTGAGCAAGAGCACTCTCCGATCCAACTTTCGTCGCCTTAATATGCAGAACCCCGTTCGTGTTAACAGTCCCTCCAATTACCAAATCGCCCTTCCGTTTTCCGACCGGCCTAGATTCTCCAGTAATCATGCTCTCGTTTACGTGACTCTGTCCCCACATAACAAACCCATCGCACGGCACTTTCGCGCCCGGAATAATCTTCATCACATCATTCTTTTGTATCAATCGACTGTCTATTTCTTCCTCGTGCAAAACGTTTCCTTCACCGTCGAGAGTTAAAAGTGTGGCCGTTTCAGGGGCTAAGTCCATGAGCTTCTCTATAGCATCGGAAGTCTTCCCTTTGGCCAAAACCTCCAAATACTTCCCCAAAAGTATGAACGAAATCAGCATCGAGCTTGTTTCGAAGAAATCGGTCGACTCGAAATTCGGCGACGTGGCAGCTCTCAGTACCGAATAAACCGAATAGAAATAAGCAGCATTTGTTCCAAGCGCAATCAACACATCCATGTTTGCCGAGCCATGTCTTAACGCTTTGTAAGCACCGACGTAGAATCTTCGACCGATAACGAACTGAACTGGAGTAGACAATATCCACCTCAATACTTCACCGATATTAAGCATGTTCACTATCTTAGTTTCGAGCCCGTGTTTGATTCCAGGTATATACATAAAAACCATGGACAGTAAAAACACAGGTATCGTAAAAACGAGGCTCCATAAGAAAGATTTGTAGTACTTCTTAATCTCCTCCCCTCTATGAGAACCTCTGGAAGTTCCTTCGGGAAATATCTTCGCCTTGTAGCGGCCGGAGCCAGTTGATTCGATAACCTCGATGAAATTTCTGGGGCCCGTTAAATCGGGTTGGTAAGAGAGGGAGACCTTATTGAGTTCGAGATTGAAGTCCATGTCTTGAACACCTGGCAATGCTTGGAGGGAATCGCCGATTATTCTCATGGAAGATTCCGTTCGCACTCCGTCGACTTGAAGGTGTATTTTGCACCTGTCTTCTTCGCCCGTGCTGATGAGGGTAGCCTCGAATCCGGAATCTTCTACAGCTTCGAGGATTTGAATCGAGGACAAGATATTTGGATCGTAACGGATTTCGGCTTCTTCGGTTGCTAATGCCACCTGTGCTCTTTCTACGCCGGGTAGAGATTGTAGCGCCGATTCGACTGTTGTGGAGCAAGAAGTGCAAGTCATGCCTTTTATGCGAATTCGACATACTTGAGAGGTTTTCTCGCTCGTTTCTTCTTGTACTAGTGTCGCTTCGAACCCTACATCTTCGATTGTCTCGCGGATCGTTTCCTCCTGCAGTTTGTGACAAGTCGAATAATATAAGAACAGGTTAACTGGTTTTTTCTTTTTTATATATAATTTAAAATCGTTAAGGCAAATACGTTATTTTCCATCATATGTATTCAAGTAAAATGTGTCAACTACAAACATACTTGGGATTGCACACATATAGAATCATGCTAAAAGAGTTGGCTATAGAGCACCATAACATATCAGCCTCGGAATTTAGTCGAATAATATAAACCGGAAAACCGTTTCACTTTAAAACAACTTTATTATGAGGAACATAAGAATTAGGGTCAATAGATCATGTGCCATCCAGAACAGGCGAAAGCCCCTCTAAAGCTTGCTGAGTATTTTTTCCCTTTTCTTTTTTTTTTTAAAAAAAAAAAAAATATAGTTTGCTTCTCAGCCTTTAATCAAAGTCCCATACTTCCCAAAAGGAACATATTCCCACGAATATTTTTCCATGCGATAGAGTTCACTGTAAACGGTTTGCTTTTCAGAGAGAACACAGAGGAGCATATTCTTTAAGGGGAAAAAATCAAGAATTTGAGTTTAAATGCTCTGCTTGAGTAAGAATCTAAACAAACTTCAAATGCAAAAATGACAAATATAAATTATATGAAGTTCCAATTATTAAATAAATAAATTAAAATAAAGGGTAAATTACGAAAATCCCCCTAAACTTACGCTAAATAATAAAAAATACCCCATCTATTCGTAATTACCAAAAAAACCCTGAGGTTTGTTTCCATCTTAAACCAACCCTTACAGTGTGACTTTTCACACGGAATTTTTTTTTTTTCATTCCAGGGAACAGACTTTACACAATTTCAGATATTTTCTTTTATTTCTCACCTATTTAACAGAAGGTATAATAGACTGTACACATTTTCTGTTAAAAAACTCGATCAACAGTTAATCAAGTTAATCAGAGATGGAGTTTGGTTATTACGGAGAGGTGGAGAGTGTTTTCGTTATTTAGCATAAGTTCAGGGGTTTTTTCGTAATTTAACCCACCAAAACGAAACTTTTACAAGTTACAACCACCACCAACCGGTAGCACGCATAACCCGTGAGAGCAGCTGATTGCTTAAATTCAAATCAAAGCACACTAATGCATGTTTTTACACACACAGAAGATATAAACAGTTTAAAAAAAAAAAAATCTGAAAATTAATTTAAAAATCTAACTTAATTTCACAGCTGTAGAAAATTCACCACAAACTTACATTGACAAAAGCAGGGTAAAACATGACTTGAGCGCGGTTGTTGAGGACATCGACCGCCGCCTCCTTGATTCCGGGGAGGCGTTTGACGGCCTTCTCCACCGATCCGGCGCAGGCGGAGCAGGTCATTCCGGTGACGGAGAAAATCGCCATGGATTCCGATCCTCGCATGAATTTCTCCTCGTCTGATGAAACGGCGACGCCTTTGGGGTACTTGGGCATCGACGGGTAGTGGGGCCGAGGGGACAAATTGCCGCTCTCGTTCGGCCTTATGCATGCCAGTGATAGAAACTTCGCCGCCGCCGCCATCGCCGATTCGTAGCGGTCTGCAACTTTGATTTTGATTTTGATTTTGATTTGAAGATTGGCTTTCTCTCTCTATGTGTGTTTCTCTCTCTATCTCCTTTTTTTCTCGCTTCTGTGATACGGAAAATGTTTTGTGTGTTCTTTGAATGCACGATACCTCCCGGGTTTATATAGAAAGTATGAAAATAATACAGTTTTCATCCCTCAAGTTTTCACCGATTCTACATTTAGCCCCACATGTTAATAAAAAGTACCTTTGGTCCCACATATTTCAAAAATTCAACACCTTTAATCATTTTCGCCAATTTTTTGTTAGTATTGACGGAATCAAGTGTGTGCTCGTTGCTTCCTTAACTGACAGACTAAAAGGTTAAATGACAGAAGTAACCAAAAGTGTTCAATTATTGAAACATGAAGGACCAAATGTGTATTTTTCAAATATAGGGGTCCAAATGTGTATTTTTTAAACATAGGGAACCAAATGTGAAATCGATGCAAATTTGAAGAATGAAAAGTGTAATTTTTCCTAGAAAGTACTCAACTTGTAGTTGTTCAATTTTTTTATTTTTTATTTTTTTGATTTTTTTTTTTCATTTTTGAACAATTAAATTCTTAATACGAATTTTGAAAGGTAGTTTGTTTTCGACCCAATTTTTTAAATTAGTCACTATCTTTGTCTTTTTTTTTTTGATAAGATCGTCACTATCTTTTTAATTGACTTTGAATTGATCCCTTTAATAATTAGAAAGGTAAAGCACAAAGCAACCCCCAATAATTTTGAAATTGTAACGAAATATATGATAGTGAACTTTTGAAAATAGAGTGAAGGGAAAAATTATAGTCAGCATCAGTTTCACATTTAGTCCCTATATTTAAAAAAAAACATATTTGGTCTCTCGTGTTTTAATAATTTAACAGTTTTGATCATTTCCGTCAATTTATCGTTAGTTCGTTCATTAAGACAATGATATGGGCACACGCCTGATTTAGTTAGTTTTAACGGAAAATTGGTAAATAGACTAAAAATGTTGAATTTTTTAAACATAGATGACCAAATATGTTTTATGTGAACACAAATGACCAAATGTGAAATTAGTGCAAACTTAAGAGATCAAAACTGTATTTTTCCTGAAAATGGACTTTCAAATAGTAAGAGACAACCTTAAAGAATTGTTAGCAAGACCGGTGCACGATTATGAGTGACATGTATGCATCAATACGATACCTGTATACAAATATTTAGTTTTCGTTTGGTTTTCAAAATAAGATTAGTTAAAATAAAATTAAATAATATAATGAAAATCTAAATATTTTATCGGATTTTAAAACGTTCAACAATTCTTTTTCCTAAAAGGTAAATAAAAATAAGTCATCATAATATAGTATTTGTGCCTTCCGACAATTATTAGAGATATCATATATTAAATAAAGTGCAATTTTTAATCATGATTAATCTCCCAAATCAAACGAAACTTTACGCACATATAAGGAACCCATCTCCCCTAGTTCCGGACATCCCAAATTACTTTCTCTCTCTCTCTCTCTCTCTCTCTCTCTCTCTCTCTCTCTATATATATATATATATATATATATATATATATATATATAAATTAGAAAAAAAAGAAATTAATAATAAAGAATCAGGTGCTTAATTAATTATACCTAAAAAGTGTCCAGGTTCATAATTGCATCATACATATATATCAGACGAAGAAAAACGATTAAGGCCTTGTTTGGAGATGTCGAACATCAAATAAACTCTAATTTTTTAGTTATTAATAATAGATCATCTCCAACCAAACAGGGTTTAAGTAGCAAAGCTTACGACATATTTTCATTATTTTAAAATTTGATATTTAACTCTTTCAGGGGAGGTAAAAACGGGATAACGACTTTAACAGTCACCAACAAATCATTTTTTTGCATGTTTTGTAACTAGATCGTTAAAATTAAGTTTCAAATTTTGTTAAAGCTTCGACTTCTGCATAAGTGATTACATCATTTTTCTGAATTTTTTTTTTACAAGTCAAACTTACCACATGAGAAATATTCAATAAATGAAAATGAGAGATTGATTGGCTTTTATTTAGTTGTAAATTTACCTCATGAGGGTTAATTTACGGCCACAACTGTGATATAATTAAATTACGAAAACACCTTTCATGTTTGAGATATAATTAAATTATGAAAACACCTTTCATGTTTGGTTAATTATAATCACTCCTTTAAATTATTACATGTTCACATTTGCGGTGTAAAATTTAGTGAAATTTTCTAGATTATGTGGAATATGCTTCAATTTGTACCCGTTTTACTGCATTCGAGCTCTACATTTTAAAACAAGATGATCGTAAGACATGTCTATTGGCTTGTAAGTATAAGATGCGTCCATCAGCAATTACTTTTTTGTACAAAATGAGTATAAATTAGAAAACATTTCACGAAATGTAAAAGATTATGTTGTATTTGATTCCAGAAGAGTACACCAGTACAAGGTTTGTTATTGACGGCATCTGAATTTATCTGATATATAGATGAATTAGAAGAAAGACCGTATGTCCCAAAAAATTAATCACGAAAAAAAGAATATCACATATCAACTCGCCCTACCACGTATTAATGGGAGTTCATCAGGTGATTCACAGACGTGTGATTAAATAACTACCCAGTAAAAGCACACATACACATGGATGCGTGTCTAACTAAGTTTTCTGTCTTTTTTTATTTTATTTTTTTATTTTTGTACTATTTATTACAAGTTGGTATTTTTATTTTATTTTTTAAACTTCTTTTTATTTATTTTTAATTTAATTTCTTTTGGGAGAAGAGTTTGGGCTTGACAGGTAACCCAATTACTTATCCAGCTGTATAAGCCCACTTACCCAACCAAATATGTGACCTTTTAAATCCAATTAATTTAGATATATTGACTTTTGAAGCCCATCAAACGTTACATCCACGCAACTACTATGTATAAAGTATTTGGTTCTATTCATCCAATTCCAATAATAAATAAATGAATAAATAAACATAATTAATTCAAATGCCTGCATTTATAATTTGGGCTTCATTTAAAAGTCCAATTTGCTTGTTGAATTCGCCAACTGAGTTTAGTGGGCCACCTTGAACCCAATAGGGTACGGCATACAACTTTTAAAGTATACGGGGGCCCGTACCCGACGATTGCTAAATACGTCAAAAACGAGTTGAACTCAATTTCTTAGTAGATCGTTCTATGAATTGATACAAATTTTCTAGAACTTTTGTAAAATGGCAGATACGGACTTTTGGGAGTATAACGACGTCGGTTCGCATCTGCACTATGTTGGGGTTCCACATGATAGCACAAACTCCACATTGGTATGATATTATCCAAATTTGGGCCTGGCCTAACTGATTTTGCTCTTGGATTTCCCCAAAATGCCTCATTCCAGTAGAGTTGTTATCCCCTCATTATAAAGGGGTTTACTATTCACAGTGCATTTTTTTTCGATTATAGTGCGAAATAATTCATTTGTCAAGAAACTCTTTAACATTTTTCCAAAGGTTACGGCTATATACAATACTTATTCCATTTGTGTAAAACCAAATTAAAGAAAGATTCCAAAAAATTCCATTTTATTAAGATGAAATGACAAATATACCCATAAATTAAATTGGCTTTTGTTTGCTCATGCAAGACCAAATAACAAATAATAATAAAAAACAAAAAAAAAACAAAAAGAAGAAAACAAAGAAAAAG